ATAAGCTGACACATCTGGCCTTTCTTTTTTTCTAGCAATGGGGACAATATTCTGTTTTGGAGCCAGGAAATCAGAGCTGATTAAAAATATTGCAAAAGAAAAAAAAAAACTTAGCTTTAAATGATAGAACTTGGAGCCAGATGGTGGTGCAGTGGTGGAATAATACTCTGTGATGCTGAATCCACGTGGGAAGGTTCAACGTTCCCATCCTGAGGCTTGCCTTTAGGTGTCAGGCTTGTGTATGTGCTTATAATCTGGGCTGCCTGAGCCTTGGGGAGGATTGTGGCATGAAGACCCTTTTGGGAGTGCCTATCTCTCTCTCATGGAAGAAATAAATAAATGAAATGATAGGATCTTAGACCTGAAAATGTCCTATGCTAACATTTTACTTTTGTGATTGGAAAAAAAATACACACTGTGTGTACACATATACCCGAAATTAACCTATGCTTGTTAAAGAACATCTTCTTGTTAAAGAATATTGAAAAAGTATCCATACTCCCACTTGATTTCTGTAAACAAAGTGTGACCTCATTTTTTTTTCTTGTTAAGTTACAGCCAATCATGGCAGTAATGCTTCAGTTTATCGCAGGCATTCTGCCTCTTAAACTGTGTGAAGGCAGACAACTTCAGAATGTAACCACCCTGGATTGTTTCCCTACCTAATTTCTTCACTTTCGTTTTTGTATGTCACTTTTCTGTTCCTGTACCCATCACTTTCCTTTTCTGGAACTTAAATATCTTGTGAGCATGAGGCTACCTGGAGTTGTCCAGAAGTTCAGGGAAAACCATCCAATTTGAATCCTGTTAAAATTTGCTCAATTATACTCCACTCAATTTAATTGGCTGGATTTTTCCTTTTACATTTTGAACTAGAAAAGTGATTTTTATTTTTATATATTATCTATAAATTTATAGATTAAAAATGGTACTTGCTTTGGGACCAGCAGGTGACATAATGGTTAAGGTGCTGGACTCCTACATAGTCCACTGTAATTTGAATCCCAGACCCAACGACTTAAAACTCATTCTGGGTGCATGTGCACCCAAAATCCTGAGAGGATAACTAGGGAGAAGGGATTGTGGCATGGGCATTGCCCCTGGGGAGTAATTTCTCACTTTTTGTCCCTCTGTCTCTCCAGTGAGCACACATGTCCTATAGCAAAAACCTCTCTCAAAAAAAAGCACTTGCGTTAATTTATATAATCTTGTTTTTCTAACTAGATTATATAGTTTTACATTGGCTATTTGTATTTGTGTGTCTGTTTGACCTGTCACTTTAAGTCCTTGTTCTATTTCCCATGAGACTCCGTATATTTTTCTATTGTCCTATAAAAGTACTCTCTATATTCTGGTTGATAAACATTATGTTAACAGATTTCTTTATAAAGTACCATCCTTATATTTCTAAAATTAAATCCACTCAAGTTGGCTGTATTTCTCTTGTGCACTGCTATATTCTACTTCCTCATTAATGAAATGCTTAATTGGGACTTTCTCTCCATTTCAGGTTTTCCCAAGGAGGAGGAGTTAAAAAAGCATGCATTCCCTAGCTTCTAACCTGAGGTGTTAGCCCACTTATGCAGGATATGCAAATAAAGTGAGGAAGACCTGTTTTGCCTCTTTAGCCCAATACTCACCTTGAAGTTAAAAAAGACTAAGTTGGGAAGTGAAAAGGAAAAGATAACTTCTTTGAAGACTAGAGAACTTCATTGAAGACTGTCATTGGCTTTTATGGCATTATTATTATTATTTTTCATTTTCCATATTCAGCATGGAAGAGAGAACGAAGAGTTTTACTTTATCTCAAGCTAAGTGAGAGGGTTTAGTATCTGGCATCTCTCCCTAACAGTTTGGAAAAAATGAAGGACTTTTTGGCACATTGTGTTTTACTAAAAAGACCATAGTACTATGTTCTTCCAGAACTTTACCAGTTGCAAGGAATAGAAGGAGTCTGTTGCTTTCCCATCAAACTGGGTGGGATGTAACTCCTGACCATCATAGCAGAGTGGAAGGATGCTGTGTAACTTCCAAGTCTAGGTCATCAAAGGATGCAGCCTCTTCCTAACTCCTATAACTCAAGATTCTTGTTTGGGAGAAGTAAGTCCTATACAATGAGCAAGTTCAACTTAGCCCTCTTCGGGTGGGTGCTTGGAAAGGAACCAAGACCCCAGCCAAGAGCTTTCATTAGCCACCTGACAAGAGTGAATTACCTTTAGGTAATTCTCCTCGTAGCCTTTGGATCTTGGTACTAAGCCCCTCAGACATAATGAAATAATCTCCTTATGCCCTGCCTGGGTTCCTGACTCAGAATCCTTGAGCACAATAAATGGTCATGTTGCATTATAAGTTTGAGGGTAATTTGTGATGTAATCTTAGTAACTGGAAGAGAGGTACATTTGATCCCACCCTTTTAAGGATGGAAGATGAAAGACTGAAGTCAGAGTTACAAACTTGTGGTGGTGCAAAGCATGCAGGGAAATAGATGAGAAAACTGTACATGCACCAGCAAACAAGGATGTGTGATCTCTAGAATGGGAGGGGACACAAGAGAGAGCCTAGGAGAGATTTTGCTCAAGAGAGTTGATTAAGGGGCCAGGAGATGGTGTAATGGCTATGTCGCTGGGCTCCCATGTAGTGGACCACAGTTCGAGTCCCAGACTCAGTGGATTAAACTCACTCTGGGTGCGTGTGCATGCATGCCCAAGATCCCAAGAGGAGAATGGAGGAGAAGTGATTGAGTCATGGTCATCCTCCCTGGGGGGTGATTTCTCATTCGCTTTCTGTCTCTCTGTCTCTCTCTGTCTTTCTGGTGAGTGCATGTGTCTTATAACAAAAATATCTAAAAAAAAAAAAAAAGAAAAAGAAAAAGAGAGAAAGAGAGTTGATCAAGTAAAGGGGTGACTGACTACAGAGATGTTGAGGTAAATAGCAGTGTAAGGAAATATATTGCTGATCTAAAACACCCAGAGAAATACTATGGGTGAGAAAGAGCCAGCTTGATATACTTTTGAATCTTAAAAAAACAGAGCTAGAATCCAACTATACTTACTCAGTCCTACTGCATTTTCCATCACCATGTCTATATGCCCACACCCAAATCAAAGTAAGCCAGAAGGGGAGAGGAAGTGAAGGAGTGAGTGACATGAAGAGGGAAGGTCCATCACATACCTTACCTCTCTGCAACCAAAATAAGAAGCCCTATCCAAATGAGGGAAGAAGAAAGTTCTTTTTAAAAAGCTCAGAAATATAGTTATTGCAATAGAATGGTCATTTTAATAAATAAAATGAAGCTGTTTTTCTGAGTAGAAGTAGCAGAAAAGCTATGTGTTAAAGCTACATTAAGAGTATCTTGGGGCTGGGACCTGTAGATAGCATAATGGCTATGTTGCTGGACTCCCATGTAGTTGACTGCAGTTTGAGTCCCGGACCCGGTGGCTTGAACTTATGCCAGGTGCATGTGCATGCATGCCCAAGATTCCGAGAGGAGAATGGAGGAGAAGGGATTGCAGTGTGGCCATCCCCCCTGGGGGATGATTTCTCACTTTCTGTCTCTCTGTCTTTCCAGTGTGCACACGTACCCTATAGCAAAAGAACTCTCAAAAAAAAAAAAAAAAAAGAGTATCTTGGGGCTGGCACTGTAAAGTAGCAGGTTAAGCCCTGCGTATGAGCAGTCAAATCCCAATAGGATGGAGAACACACAGTGACACTCATGTCAAGGATCGCTTTCAGAAAAACTACTATTTGATCAAGGATAAAGGACATGAGGTAATAGGTCACAAGGCTATCTTGGGAAAGATCCTTCTGAGCAGAGGAGAAACAAGCTCACAAGAAGTGTACTTGGTTCATTCATGAGGCTGAGTGGAGTGGAGAAATCAAGAGGGAAGAAAAATGGGCGATGACAATTAAACACTGGGTAATGTGATGCCTTGTACCTTATTCTGAGGATGAGTGATAATAGCATAAAAGGTCGTCTTTAGTCAGTGTGACATTGTGATGGAGAGCATGATACATGACATTTTGGAAGCATTTTTTGTTTTGGTAAGATTTTTGCTATAATATGTGTATGCTTGCTGGAGAGACAGAAAGACAGAAAGTGAGAACTCACTCTGCAGCCAGAATGGCCATGCCGTCTGTAATCCCTTCTCCTCCATTCTCCTCTTGGCATGTAGGGAATGAACACGCATGTGCCTAGAGTGAGTTCCAAGCCACTGTGTCCAGGTCTCAACCACAATCGACCACATGGGAGTCCAGTTCCTCAACCACCCCAAGCCCCACTCAGTTTATAACATAGGTACAAGGAGACCCTGGAATGAGATTCTGGAACCTTTCTACGGGGTTCAGTATTGCAGAGTATTACATTATTGCTGCTTCGTTAGCTGTTCCCTGAATAACTTTTTAGAAAAATGTAACAGTTGCATGCCAATAGAAAAGCTGACCAAGCTGTAGTTTATAGAAATTTAGTATCTTTGCTATAGATAAAGTCAGTGTGGTTATTTAGTCATTCTTAGTTAAAACATAGAAGCAAACACATCCTACAATATATCCCTAAAAGTCTCTCTATGGCTGTCAAACTTTATTATTTAAATATAAACTTGCTAGAAGTTCAATTTTTTTAAAGAATTATTTTATTTAGCTTTACTTATTTATTTATGTTTTAATTTGACCAAAGAGGGACAGAGAGAGAGAGAGAGAGAGAGAAAGCCAGAAAGTAAGTCACCAGGTCTGGGACTCGAACTGTTGTCAGCCAAGTGGGAGTCCAGCGCTCATAACCACCACGCCACCTGCTGACCCCAGAAGTTCAATTCTTAATGAAAGTAAGTGAATGATTAACATTTTATATGATTTAACATGAAAAAATGTAAACTATTTAGTTTCACCACTTCTTGTCTGTATATGATTACGAAGAAAAACTGGAAATTATTGCCTGGAAAAACTGTTCACCTTGACCATGGGGTGAAATCATGCCCTTCTGTTTTCTATTTCCGTTTAGTATTCATAGCATGACATTGCCTTTGCAATAGCCACTTTTCAACATGTTTTATGGAATGAGTCGACGTGATCAATTACAATCCTTTCACCCGAGCCCAGGAGTCAGGTGGAATGCTTTGACGGAACTGCTATTTTTGTAGATAACACCAGTCTCTGAGGAAATACGAAAGTCACAGCTGTCTCTGCTCTCTCCTTTCTGTCAGGCTCTACAGGTATCACCAGTGATGCAATTTTTCCATCATATGGGGGTGGTGAATTTGAAGACATTGTGATGGAAACTAATGCAGTTGTTTAAATGATAACGATGCATAATTAAAGGTATTATCAGAAGGCATAGTTTATTTTTTGATTTGGATATCACATTCCATTACTTTGTAGCTAATTTCAACATTGTCTGATCACTGATCAACAATGTCATTGATCAGATTAACCAAATTCTTCTAATGGCTAAGCAGTTATAAACTACACAGATTTATTTCAAAAGGCATATTACTTTTAAAAAAAATGGAGGAAAGGGATTGAGGCGATAACCACACCCCACTGGGGGATGATTTCTGTCTTCCTCTCCCTCTCCCACTTTCTCTGTCTCTGATGGGCTCACACATCCTCTGGCAATAAAAATAAATAAAAAAGCACATTATTTTTTATGAAAGAAAAATGGCAACAGGGTTTTGACTATGTGCAAAAGCAGACTAAGTAGACTAAGTATCACATCACACAATAGAGTTCGGGCGCTTTCATGAGGTGGTGGTGTTTGCTCTCTCAACACTCAGGACTGTTTTCCAAATATGCTGATAACTTTTTTTTTGGAGAGTTTTTTGCTATAGGGCACATGGGCTCTCCAGAAAGACAGAAAGCGAGAAATCACCCCCCGGGATGGGGGAGTGGTCATGATGCAATCCCTTCTCCTCCATTCTCCTTTCGGGATCTTGGGCACACATGCACACACACCTGGCATGAGTTTAAGCCACCAAGTCCAGGACTCAAACCGCGGTCAACTACATGGGAATCCAGCGACATAGCCATTATGCCAACTGTTGGTCTCCAATATGCTGATAACTTGACTGCCCTGGTAATGGAGTCCCTGACTCTCTGTATAGAAATGGGTTAAATGTAACATGTTTGTTTCCAAAACAGTAAATATATTCCATGTAAAGAATTATCTTTTTTTACTTCTTGTTTAAAAATTTAATTGGAGGCCATCTCCATAGAACTCAATACAGTTTTCAGAAGCATGCATTACGTGACCATGAAATCAAAGACATGACCATAGGCATCCCTCTTATTGGAGAAGTTTACATTCTTCTGTCTGCCAAGTACTTCCTCCCTAAGCCCCTCTCATCCAATTCCTGCTACCCACCCTTCCCCTATAGTGATTTCCCCCCCTTTCTCTTTTTCTTGTGATTTTCTTAAGAAATAATTTTGCACTTAGGAAAGGGTTTGTAACTTTTTCTGAAAATTTCTGTCTGCTGACTTTCTGCAGATCCTCGATTTTGCTGAGATATTCAGAGAAGACAATCTTACTGCTAAGGTGGCCTTTGGACTTCCATTTTTATTTCTGATCTCCTTTATTCTACTTTCCGACTGACCCTGTTTCAGGTCAGCAGCCAACAGCATAACAAAAGGTAACATTCATGTCTCTGTCACTTTAGATTTCTCTTTGGAAGATCATATTTCTTCTGGCAAAATATTACATTTTCTCTTTTTGTGTTAACCTCACTTTAGAAAGTTTAAACATTCCTACCTGTTGAATTCAAGAGAGGCCAAATGATTTACTTGCATCCATAAAATGTGAGTGGAAATGATATCTATCCTTAGGAGCTATTTCTTGTTTCACCATCCATCTCTTTCTTGAGTTTAATTTACCATGTTTTTTCTCCTGTTTAAGAAATCTTCATCTGAGTCAGGGTGGCAAAAATATTATCTTTTTCCTTTAGCAATGTTATTTTGTATATTTAGATCAAAGATATATCTCAAAATTGTAAATTTAATTTTACTTTAATGTTGCTTGATGTGTAAGATGGGTGTCAATGCTTTTTTTTTATATGAATATTTATTTATTCTAGCACCATTGACCTAATGTCACTCAGGCTTTTAGTTTTTCTGCATCATCAGACAAGAATACTCTATAAATCTTCACATATTTGGAGCAATTACATTTTTCTATAGCTATATAAATTAATAGTACACAACTCAGCATTACTGGATCTCACTTTAATCTTTCTGGTAGCATTTTGGAGGAAAAAATAATTTTCTAAATTGTGTTTATGTAAATATATTGCTTAGTTAATTGGGGGGATGGAGTAATGGAAAAGTTTGGGGAGAGGAATTATACATGGGAACTGGATGTTGGTCTGTAGTAATGGGGCATTGGTAAATAACATCTGAAAAGAACAACTAAAAAAGAGTAGTATAAACATATGGTTTAGAAATACATAGTTAAGTGGCAGAAAAACATAACTAAAACTAAGAATCCAGCGGCTTAAAATGTTGCTTTGGAAAATGAGTGGCAGAATTTTTCTCAACTGCCACAAAAGTTTTACACTGCTTTGACATTTCTGGAGGTATTTGTATACATTAGTTGAATATTTTTTCAAATATTTTCAAAACTAAGAATAGCTATCTGGAGGGATGCACCCTACTTTGTTAGGGGTGGGCTCCTATAGGAAGAAGGGTTGATGAAAGATGATACTTTGATTTATTGAACATACTCCCAACGCTGGCTGTATTTAGAATAGAATCTGCAAGGAGGTAATGTTGGTTAAATGAAATCATAAGGGTAGGGGTATAATCTGATAAAGTTGATGCTCTTACAAGAAGAGGAAGAGATACTAGATATCTTTCTCCATTTTTGTAAGGATACAATGAGAAGGTACCTGTCCACAAGTCAAGAAGAGAATCTGTACCAGGAACTAAATATGCCAGACCTTGATCTAGGACTTTGATCCTCCAGAACTGTGAGAAGATACATTTCTGTGGTTTAAGTTACACAGTCATTATGTTGTATTATGGCTGGCCAAGCAGACTAATGCATGTGTTGAATTTTTAAAATTTTTTCTCATAAAGAGCCTATAGTTGTCCCTTGGTGTAGATGGTGAATTGATTCCAGGACCATTCCATGAATATTGAAATCCATGGATAAACTAGTCCCTTATATAAAGCAGCACAGTATTTGCCTATAACCTATGCACATTTTCTTGTAGTTAAATTATTTCTAGATTACTCATAATACCTAATACAGTATAAATATTATGTAACTAAATTGTTATACTATGATTATTATATTGCTTAGGGAATAATGAAAAGGAAAGAAAATCTGCACCTGTTTGGTACAGATACAAACTTCATAATAGTACTACTAACTAAATATTACATATTAACAACAATGTAACATTCTACATGCACTTGGTTCAATCTATGAATGGGAGCCCCTGGATACAGGGCTGATGGTATATCATTTTGCAATGAAAATATATAACTGGAGAGAAAAGAGTTATGTTATAAAAGTAGCATCTTCATAGTCAAGAAAAGTTTGAAAAAAGGAGGAAATCCTATATATTTTAGTCCTTCATCATACATATTTATCTTTCTCTAATTGACATAGGTATAATCAAATTCTATTCTGAATTTTTATCTAATACCTCACATTTTTAATGTAAATTAAATATTAAGTTAATTACTAAAATGTATAATAGTAATTTAAATCACTATAAACTGTTTAGTTGAGCTGATATATTTTATCACAATTTAATTTAACCAAGTTGTGATGTAGCATTTTTGTTGTTTATAATTCGAGAGAGAGATTTTTGCTATAGGGCATGTGCACGCACTAGAGAGACAGAAAGACAGTGAGAAATTGCCCCTTGGGAGGATGACCATACCACAATCCCTTCTCCTTCATTCTTGTCTTGGGATCTTGGGCACACATGCACACACGCCCAGTGTGAGTTTCAAGCTGCCAAATTTGGTACTCAGACCATGGGCAACTACGTGAGAGTCCAGCGATGTAACCATTTCACCATCTGCTGGTCCCAGGCATATGTCTTTTTAAAGTTGGAATTAACTTTCTTGGGATAAATTCCCAGAATTGAAATGACATTTTAAAGATTCTTGGTATATTTTGCCAAATTGCAAATTTGACATGATCAATCAGTTCATGATTCTATTAGCAATGTGTGGAAAGCCGACTGTATTTTCCTCTGGACACGTGAGGTATTGTTTAACTTTACCCCCATCTTCAGACAGAAGCAGATTTCATTTCTTATACTATGTGTCCTTTTTGTTGCTTCCAAACATTTTAACATGGAGTTTTTTGGAAATCAGATGTCTCTTGGTTCCCATATTGTTCCATGTCAGAGATAATCCACAAATGTATATTCTGGGCCAGCAAATATAAGGTTTTTGTAAAAATTAAAATAATAATAATAAAAACAAAATATAAGGTTTTATTGTATATAGTGGGGTATCTCTCTAGCCGACAAACGAACCCTGACAGAGTAGCTATGTGCCTCAACTGATCGGCAATATTGTAAAAAGGAGATTAGAAGTGACAGTGGAGGGTTAGTTGATGACATAGTGATAAACTGCTGGACCCCACATGGCCGGCCATACAGTTTGAGCCCCAGATCTAAAAAAACAAAAAAAGAAAACAGGAAAGAAAGAAAAGAAACGACAGGAAATATTAGGTTCTTTGTGGCAGTCTTCCTCTGAACCACCTAGCACCATTCTTGCTGTCCATCACTCTCTTCCAGGATACTGGGTTCATAACAAGTTAAGGCGCGTGCAAACGGACACTATTCTAGATATTTTAAATAGGAAAAGTACTTATGCCCAGGAAATACGTTCGTAGCACTACCACAAGGCTCAGGGAAGTGAAGGCCTAGGAAAACCTTCACTAACATGTGGAGGATCGGGAATTAGAAGGCTCACGGGATGCCACAGCCAGCCATCTCTGCTGCCTGCTGATGTGGGTCACATACAAAACACTGGAGGCCTAGGAACTTCCTACTGCGGTCTGCCTATCTTATAGCTTTTGCATTTCTCCTGTCTTCCACCTTACACAGCATTATCTCTTTCTGGGAGAATTTGTACAAGTATCATATGAGTAAGGACTCCTGCAAAGTCTACTTGCAGAATTTTTTACTTTGAAATGTGGAGAGGAATTACGGTGCAGGAATGACACTGGACTGACTATTCAGACTCCCTCCCTTGTGGTGGGAGTCTTGACAGTTATCACAATGTCTTGGATAAAGTCTTTCTTATTTTAACAAGTGTCAGAGTAACTTACCAATAGAAGTGGCTTGAGGAATTGGAAATGAGTTGGCTGGGCCATAATGTGATCAACACATCATGATTTGTCCTAAACTTCCTTTGTTTTAGCACTGAAAATATGCTCCTGAAAAACAAAGACTCTGGAAGTTACCTGACTTTCTCAAAGTCACTTAGTTACTTTGCAGTGACTGAGCTTTGGTTTGCTGACCCTCAAGGTAGGGTCAGAAAGGGTCTTAGAAGAGCCTCTTACAGGGTTGTAACTAGGAGTCCTTCCAGCCTCATACCACATGAAAGTTCAGAGAGGAATGATTATTCCTATGACAAATACTCAGAGATTTGAAATGTTATTCAGCTGAGCTAAACACCTCTGCCTTTATCTTGAACTCCTCATGCACACCTGCTCTGCGGGTTCTTTTTTTTGAGGTCAGCGATCACATCTGCCTTCTACACGACACTATCTTCTCTCTGTATGTGGGCGCAAACCAGCTGAAGTCAATCCTCTGTCTGTGTAAAGAGCTATTTCCCTCTCTCCAGGCTTCTTGTATCTGTGATTTTGTGAAAATAGTAACAAAAACACCTTACATAATATTAGATTTTTACCTTCTCTGACTCCCTGTGGACAACACAGATATCTGAAAAGTTTTATGTATGTTTGCTTTTTATACTTCATGATTTCTAATTTTCTTTGATAAACATCACAAATCTGATGCATTGTATTAATTGAATTTTGCATTTTAAAAAGAGTTTTATTAGTCAAGGTTTACATAGGAATGGAAAATGAAATCTCTCAGTCTTGTCTCCTGTTTCAACTTAGAGAAAAATTAATGAGAGGAGTCATCAAAAAGTTCACATGAAATGTATACTATGAAAAAACTACATAGTATCAGCAGTTGGCATAATGGCTATGTCACTGGACTCCCATATAGTCGACTGCAGTTTGAGTCCCGGACCCAGTGGCTTAAACTCATGCCAGGCACTTGTGTGTGTGTGCCCAAGATCCCTAGAGGAATATGGGGAAGAAGAGATTGCGGCGTGGCCATACCCACGGGGGATGATTTCTTGCTTTCTGTCTCTCTGTCTCTCTCTGTCTTAAACCTCTCCCCACCCCCCAAAAAATAAAGAAAAAGAAAAAAAAAGAAAAAGAAACACCCCCCCACCCCCAAAATAAAGAAAAAGAAAAAAAAAGAAAAACTACATGGATTTCTATTTTTTACACCTGAATATACTTTAAATCCATGTTTTCCACAAACTATTTGAACTGCCCGTGTATTAATGATTTGCTCTTAAATATTTTATGACTCTGGCATTTAAAAAGTCCACATGTCTTTTGAGAGTTTTTTTTATTTTTTTCACTATAGGGCACGTGTGCTCGTCAGAAAGACAGAGAGAGACAGAGAGATAGAAAGTGAGAAATCATCCCCCAGGGGGGATGGCCACACCGCAATCCCTTCTTCATTCTCCTCTTGGGATCTTGGGTATGCACGAACATGTGCTCGGCGTGAGTTTAAGCCGCCCGGTCTGGGACGTGAACCACAGTCGACTACGTGGGAGTCAAGCAACATAGCCATTATGCTAACTGCTGGTCCCGGTAAGTCCACATTTTAAGACTATATCACATCTCCTACTCTTCCTCTGCTTTTTTAAAAATTTTCAACCTATGTCCCTAGGTAGTTATGTTCATACACAGTGGCAATATGGTGGTGTCAGGTTTTATTCTGTCTGTTGAGTGAAACCCCACATATACCCTTGTACTTCACAAAAGAGGTCAGTGTGCTTAATCAGAACTCCAACAAGAACTTTTGAGGGCTAAAATGAGCCACACAAAGCTCTAATCCCCAAGTATCCTGCATCTTCTACAATCTACAAAATTTTGCATATGTCCTATCTTTATTTGTCAAATAGGATTTTGATAGTGGCCTGTGATTATTATTCTTTACTCAGAGTATCGATAATGGATTTGACTTTGGGTATCAGGACATGAGTAGTATGGCTTACATGGCGGGAATTTATTTGTGTCACATGGCATGTTGTCAGGTTAGCTGTCCCAGGGTTGGGGACTGGCCTGCATGACCTAGGCTGTTTCTGTTCTGTCACCTTCATATTATTATCCATATCATGACTTCAGGACAGCAAGAATTACATTCCCCCGGAAAACGCTCCAAGTAGGAAGAAAGTTGGCAGTAACACCTCGTTCTGTTTTGTATCAGGAGAAAAACATCTATCGGAAACTTTAAGTGGACTTCCATTTACACCTTTCCCAGAACTTGGCCTATTGCCCAAACCTAGACCAAAGGGAAATATTCTCACCATGACTAGGCTTGGGTTACATGCAATGTGCAGTTCATCTCCTGGCAGAGTAACTGCTACTCCTAAAATGGCATTGAGAGTCTGTAAACAAGAGAGAATACAGCTGATGTAATATGCTCCTTTGGTTTTCTGTTACTCAAGAAGAATTGGCTTTCCTGGTCTCACTTTAGACCTTTCATTTCAATTAGAGATGAATGGTAGTTAGTGTTTTAAATTGTGTGTGTGTGATGGACTGAATTATTGAATCCCCCTAAAATTTTTATGTTGAAATCCTACCTTCCCCATATGATAGTATTAGGAGGCAGGGCCTTTGTGAAATAATTAGGTCATACTGGAAGAGCCCTTTGCCATGGAATTCGTGCTC